TAAGCACGAGGAAGGTGCGATCGAGGAACGGGCTCGGGATTATAATGCAAATTGGATGTCTGCGGTTGAGATACTCGATGACGATATCTACCTCGGTGCTGAGAACAATTTCAACTTATTAACAGTTAAGAAGAACAGTGAAGGTGCTACTGATGAAGAACGAGGGCGGTTAGAGGTAATTGGAGAGTACCACCTTGGGGAATTCGTGAACAGATTCTGCCATGGTTCTCTGGTAATGAGGCTTCCTGATTCAGAGATTGGTCAGATCCCAACTGTCATCTTTGGTACAGTCAATGGAGTTATTGGAGTAATAGCTTCACTTCCTCAAGAACAGTATATCTTCTTGGAGAAATTGCAGTCATGTCTGAGGAAAGTGATTAAAGGCGTTGGCGGATTAAGCCACGAGCAATGGAGGTCGTTTAATAACGAGAAGAGAACCGCGGAAGCAAGGAATTTCTTGGATGGTGACTTGATCGAATCGTTTCTGGATCTGAGTAGGAACAAGATGGAGGATATATCTAAATCCATGAATGTTCAAGTGGAAGACTTGTGTAAGACAGTTGAAGAGCTCACCAGGCTTCACTGAGTCAAGCAATCAATGCTCCATAAGCTTTGTTTTTCTTTATCTATCTATTAATGCTTACTTGAATTACAAGTCTTCTTTTGGTTTTGTTATCATCAGTTTCTGAAGTTTGATTGAGTTGTTACTTCTTGTCTTTGTAATAACTTGCTTTTTATTTTCTGATAAATTAAACCGAATGTTTTTTGGGTCTCTGGATTGATCGGCCGAAATATATATTTAATACTATGATTTTCTATAAAATTATGCTTTAAAAGTGGTATTTACTATTTGCAGCTAATTCTTTGCTTGTGAACGGTCTCTTTCTCAACTTTTCTGTATGTGTTGCACACAAACAAATCGGTTAATTAATAGGAGTAGATTGTAAAGTTATATGCTTATATTGATTTTTCTAAAAATAGGTCTCATGGAATTACTTTCTTTTGTTTTAAAAGAAAAAAAAAAGATTTTACTTCTCTTGAAGGCACCTTAGATTCCTTAAAAAATCTAGATTATTCTTTGTACATTTAATTAGGTTTCTCTTGTCTCAAAACCTCTTGACCAAATGACCATCATAGTTAAAGATTTATGCACCATAATATAAGTTTCTTCTTTCTTGTGTGGTGATGTGATCATCTAGAGATTCTTAATTTCTTCCATTTATATTTATATATACTCTTACAAACATTTGAAAATGAGAAATCAATTTTGGATTTTTCTATTTTCTTTGCTTCTACTAAATTTCTCCTCCCAAGGTAAAACATGTTCTTCTCTCTATTTATTGTGGTTAGTTATGTTCTCATTTGCCTCATCGATAAACTTATGCATTTTCTGTTTGACGAAAATTGATCTTTTTGTTGGTTTTATAATTTTTTGTTTCATGAAGATTGATGATTTTTATATTTTCCGTGAACACCATATTAATTAAGACCAAGAAATGAAATGAAAGATAGTCTTAATGTGTGTAAATCCTTTTTAAAAAACAAATTTTATTACGAGCATATTTAATGTGTAGCTACAAGGCCAGTGGTACTGGTACCGATCAGACCAGAGACACCGATTCGACCACAAGGGAACACGACGTTCTTGGACGGAACAACATGGTGTGTGGCTCGACCAGGTGTGTCTCAAGCTGAGCTACAAAGAGCTCTTGACTGGGCTTGTGGGATTGGTAGAGTGGATTGCTCGGTCATTGATAAACAGGGTGATTGTTACGAACCGGACACGATCGTATCGCACGCATCTTTTGCGTTTAATGCGTATTACCAAACTAATGGGAACAATCGCATTGCTTGTTACTTCGGTGGGACAGCTACACTCACCAAGATTAACCCTAGTAAGTTACTTCCACTAATGTAAAATGTATACGTAATCGATTGTACTAAAATTCTAATTATATATGCCCTAGTTCGTATATATTTATTACATGCATGCATGGTCGAATCCATCTATATAAATTTTTGCAAAAGGAAGCTATGGAAAAATGACAAAAAAAAACTCTATTGATGTGAAATCTCTTTACTGATCACTATTTTGTTTGCTTTTTCGACTAATCTTGTTGCAATTAATAGTTGTTTTCACATTTTTTATGTATACTGTATTTCAAATAATTTTACCAAAATATATATCTAGGAACAAAAAACATAAAAGATATGAGATGATGAAAGACATGATTAAATAATGTTTTCAAACATTTTCTCTACTAAACATATAGAACTAATTCTCTACGATATTTTCATGATTATTACTTTATTAGTATCGTATATGGTAATAGAAATATTATAATTTTTTTGATGTTGCTTGCAGGCTATGGAAAATGCTCCTATGATGTATCCAAGTAAGAACCCTAAGTTCATATATATTGTTCCATTTTCCTTTTATTCATTGAAAAAGCTTTCGTTTAAAAAAATTATACTGACCTTTGGCCATTCAGATCGGAAGTCTCTGCCGCAAGATCACTATCGGAGTACAAACCACGGTGGCTACGGCTGATTTACATAGGAGTTTTGTTGTTTTTCTTTCGGCGAAGCTAATATCTTCCCCGGAAAAAGTCGATACCGGAATATTTTTCTTTTGAGCAAAGTTTGCAAAAGATTTTGGTATTGTAGCAATTAAGCTTTGTGTTTTATTCTTGCCTTTCTTTTTTTTTTTTTGGGTCACATATTCTTGCCTTTCTCTTGGGGTCTAGAATCTGAAAGCCTTTATAGCCTTCCTTACATTGGGCAAAAAGTAAAAAAATATATTTTGTTTCCATGTTAATTAATATCTTCTTTATAGTATTCTATAAATATCACTAAAATCTGATCAAAATTTTCTTCCAACAGTTACTTTTAAGAACTAAACCATATCAGTTCATGATAATATATACACACAAGGTGACAAAGTCTTATTATATAGAGGAGAATGCGCACGATGAGAACGCGATACGTAAGCAAAATTGTAACATGATTACGACACATATAATTTTTAATTTAGATTGTGACATGTGTCAATATTAAAAAAATTTTAAAAATTAAAATAAGGAATATATTCTAAACAAAGATTATGAACTAATTAACAAAAAGAAGAAAAAAACTGTATACTAAAATAGGTAATATTTCTAAATTGTTATATTACAAAATACATTTTTTCCATTTCAAATTATTTAAATAGTTAAAGACAAAAAGAGATGTCATATTATAAGTGTTATTCTGTTAATATTATAACGTGTATGAGACAATTTTAATATGAGATAAATATAATAAATTGACGATTAAACAAAAATATAAAATGATATAATAATAAAATAAATATTAAATATTTGTGTGATTCGTAATTTAGAATCGAATTACATTTATCAAATTATAGGCGTTATAAATTCTAAAGTCAAAAGTATTTACCGCAATGCATTTTTGTATAAGCATGACACGTAAGCAAAATTATAACTCACAAGATCGCGTATTAACGCGGGTCCTATTCTAGATGTTTATAAATTTAAATATTTTGACTTGTTATTCAATTACAATTTCTTGTTACAAACTAGTAAATTTTGTACTAAAATAAGATGCATAATTTCTTGTTATGCACTCTATGCTGATCAGACTAAGTTGAAATTCTGAGGCCCATTTTTCTACGGCCCATTAAAATTATCTACAAAACCCTAAATCCAAACTAAAACACTTTCTTCTCCGTTCCATTCGCACTCACCGGAAGCCCTAAAACCTCCATTAACGCCGGACGAAGAAATTCCATCTAGTTACAATCTTAACCTTTGTTTCGCGATGAAGGAAGAGGAAGTAAACCGATGCCAGATTCAAAAATGGTACCCAAAATTCAGATCTTTAACCATCAAAACCAAATTCCAGCAACTTCCAGAATCTTTCATCAACTACCTCACCGACGATTCAGGTCCGTTTCTTCTCCCTGAATCCGTAACAAACCAAAACGCAATGCCCAATAGAGTCCGCAATCCCGAAGAAGAAGACGATTTCCAAGTCTCCGAAGGATCAGATAACGAAGCAGAAGAACCACCATCGAATCTCCTTCCTTCGTTTCCACAACTCGAAATCGAGATCAAAGAATCAATCGAAACCCTAGGGGGCTCGATTTTCCCAAAGCTGAATTGGAGTGCACCAAAGGACGCAGCTTGGATAAGCCCATCACAGAATCTTAGCTGCACTTGTTTCAGTGAGATCGCTCTCTTGTTTCGTTCCTCAGATTCTTTATTACATGATCTATGCAACGCTTATGATTCTTGTAGTGATAAAACCTCTTCAAGGCCACAAAGTTTCTTCCTTGCATTGAGAAAATGGTATCCTTCTTTGAAACCTGAGATGGAATTTAGATGCTTTGTTAAATCGAAAGAGCTTGTTGGGATTTGTCAACGTGAGGTTACTACATTTTACCCTGTTCTTGTCAATGAGAAGGATTTGCTAAAGGGTTTGATCGAAGAGTTTTTCGATGAAAACATTAGGATGGAATTCGAATCAGATAGCTACACTTTTGATGTTTATGTTACTAAGGAGAGAAGGGTTAAGCTAATAGATTTCAATACTTGGTGTGGCTCTACATTACCATTGATGTATACATGGGAAGAACTTGAGGGGATTCGAGGAGAGTGTAATGAATTGGAATTGAGGATTGTTGAGAGCCGTCGTAGCGTGCTTCCCGGTTTGAAAACAGCTGTTCCTTATGATTATCTTGACGTGAGTTCTGGTAGTGGTTGGGATCAGGTTATTAAGAAAGCTGAAGAGCAGTTTCAGAGAGAGAATCAGAGTTCTGATGAATTTGCTTGAGCATTTTTGGATCTTCTTCCTCCTTTAGTGTTGAAGTGTTCCATTGTTGTTTCTGCAAGCCTGATGTTAGGAACTTTGAAGGTCTTGTTATAAGATTATTATCTCTTTTAGACTGTTGTTGTGTTTGTATTTTGTCTTTTCTTCTGCAAAAGATATAAAGGGTTTGTGTTGAGATCTGAGAAGCAGATTTTGCTGATTAGTTTCTCTTTATCAAATTTGTAGCAATCTTTTGGCTGAAACAAACATTGATTTGATGTTGATGGTGAATGTTTGCATAATTGCATTACAAACGGACTATCCGGTACGATCCGGTTCGGTTTAAGATATTTATACAAAAAAAGAAAAACAAAGAAGGAAAAAAAAAGGTTAAGAAAGAAAAAAAAGAACATTTTGAGATTCTGAAGTTTTCTCCTTAAATCCTTGTTCTTCAGCTTCGAGCTTGAGATTAAAACTCTTCTTCGTTTGGGATCTTTGAAAAGTGAATAACTTTTCTTCTGACGATCTAATACCTTATCATAATCTGCGTTTGGTTCTTTGATTTTTCATTTGCGGCTCAAACTTGGATTTTTTTGTTTCATCATCAATTCTAATCTCAAGATAGTTCGATTCTGGTAATTACTCTGGAATAGAGCGCGTTTGATACTCTTTTCAGTTTTTTGTTAAATTCTGGGCTTGCCTCTTTTTTTCTATAAATCGCATTCAGATTAGGTTTTAAAAAATTGAATTTTTTTCGAGGTTTAAGCGATCCTCAAAGTTGGAGCTTTAGCGGCAGCGAAGGATGTTGGGTCATATGATTTCAAGGTTCGGGTCTGCCATTGTTAAACAGCTCGCAAAAGGTATTATCTGCTTAAAATCGATGCTTTTGAAGCGTTTGCTATATGGTTTTAACGAAGAGTCCTTCAGGGTTTTGGTGGGAG